GAATTTCTTTATCAATTTGATTTAATTCATTCATTGTTGCATTTCCATATTCTCGAATTATTTTACCATCTTGTTTTACTGTTGTATGATGTTTATCTCCACATATTTTACTTACTGTTTCAGTTTTGTATGTTTTCATTTTGATTTGATGATTATTGAATTTGTTTTTCAATAACACATCTTTTCAATTATGTCGTTTCTCGTTTCATTGTTGTTATTATAAAGGTTCTTGGAAATGCTTCATTAAGATCATGTTTTTCTATAGTAGAGTCAAGATTTTCATCACCATGATGATTATCTACAAACGATATTAATTTAAGAAAATTCTTTTTTAGAATCGGTTTTCATTTTTTTGTTACTTTGAAACTCTGTAGTTGCGAAACTGGAGAAAAGTCAATCGAAATCAACGAAGATTTTTTCAATTGGGGAAAATAAACCATTGAATAGAAAATCATCATCATTATTATCTTCCATTTTAGTTTTTAGAATGGAAATTTATTTCTCAATGTTCATTTTTATTTTTATTTCAATATGAAGAAATCTATAAAAAAAAGTATATCGCTAGACATTTAATTATCTCTTAGTCTTATTAATGACTTAATAGATCTGCGTAGGTTACTAATTGAGTTAGTCAATCGAGATATTGCAAAGGCCAAATATCAAATGAAATCATGTCGATAAAATTTCTGAAACGATTATAAAGTACTCAGTTGCATTGATATCGTTTCATAAATTGAGATTATTTATTCATAAATTATCATAGAATTTCAGTGGCTACAGAAGTGAACTTATTTCAAACAAATGTATTGATTCTAAATTCTCGTTTTAGAAACGGATTTCTTTATCTTGAAATAAAAGAAAAACGTTTTAATGATAAGTTACTTTTTCAAAATGATAAATATATGCATTAAAAGTTAATAATAATGATAATAGAATTAGAATTCCAATTTCAGTTGCTTTTGTAACTCGACATAATTGTCCTATAAATTCCGGTAAATGGACTGCACCGGATAATGGATTTTCACTAAACAAGAATTAAAGATTACTTTAAATTAAATTCGATTTCATTTTTAAATTTCTTACCGATAAATATGGTACATTGGATGCTGCACAATTATTAAATGGATTATATTCATCATAATTTAATGGATGTTCATCAATTGGATTTTTTTCACAAACACTTAATACTTTCCGTGGCTAAACAAAAGAACACAAAAAAAAAATAAGTTTTTATTGTTTTTTGTTCGTCTTGTAAAATAATTCAATCAAAATTATGTTTCATTTAACAAAGAATAAACTCAATTGTTTTCAAATAAATGAAAACATGAAAAATTTCTATCAACAGATTTGAAATATTTTGAAAACATTAAAGATATGTTTTCTTTCTTGTTTTTTTGGTTTATTTTAAAACCTTTCAAAGTTGCAGTCAAGAAAGAATGAGAATATTTGGTTTCAAAAATGAAAGATTAATACTAAAGCTAAAAACCTATTGAGCAACATCAGATGCTGGTTCCAATTCCAATAAACGTATGGCAAAGCTTGTTGCAGCTTTATAATTTTTTAATTTCAAATGCTTAAATGAAGATTTTAATGCAAGGGGGAAACAGCTGATTAGGAGTCCGATAATCACTCTTAATCAATAATCAGCTCTTTCCCATTGGAAGGAGAGCATGACGACGATGATATTGACGAAAAACCGCTGGAAATAATTAAAATGAATTTCCACGCTTTAAATATCAAAGAAATCGTACCGGTTGACCAAGAGATATCATATCTTAAGATCAAAATTAATGATACGAACAAGTTCTTACACAAATCCACTGCCTGTTACCTTCTAACAAAAGATAATAGCAGTTTATCTGCTGATCGATTGTCCAGAGTTATTCAGACATCAAAAAAATGAATTTTCAGGTCGATATATCAGATATGAAGATACATATACGTTCTTGACCGATCATATAAGATATTAGAGTAAGATCAGATATGATCAGAGAAGATCATACGCAAAACTGTACGAAAAAACGCGGTTCATGCAATCTTACATCAAGAATGACTATAAGTTACGTATAAGATCCAACAATATGATCATATATGATCAAACACATTCTTATAGTACGATTAGTCCGGGTGTGGGTGTGTGCATTTGCTTTAGGTTCATTCACACCCACACCCTTTCAGGCCAAACGGTCTTTGCTTTCTGAATTTTCTCAAAACCACACTGGTCCCACTTGCTCTATGATACCAGAGAAATATCAGTATTTTGAGGTTCATCATTTTTAGGGCAAATTTCAAGATCCCAAATTTCTGATCACATTGGCGTGTAGTACTAAGATAGTAGTCTTTGCAAAAAGAGTTTGAGCAAAATCGATCGAGCTGATCAGGAGAAATCGAATTCACAAGATGGACCTCTTTTGGGCCTATATTGAGACTACGGTTAGAAATGGGGATAATACTTTTTCACAACATATCTCTTATTAAATAGGCTGGTTATGTTCCCCATAGTGAGCTCTATCTCTGGTAAAAATTCCAGGTCTATATCATATTCTGGTGAAGAGATATTGTGTCAATACTGATGGTTGCCGACCACCCAAAAAAATGAAAAATTGATAAAAAGGCATTTTGGCGCCTTTCAGTCGGTATTTCGTATCTCAACCAAAATTCAAGCTTTAGAGCTAAAATTTTGGATTTATGCCTAAAAAAATGTCCTCTACAAGATGGGATAACTCCCATCTCGATCTACGATTATCGATTGAGCAGCTCTGGTCGTGGTTCTCGTGCAGTGGTTCCTATGTGGAAAACAAATGTCATAGATTTATAAAAACTGAGAACAAAATTACATTATTCAAATTTCTATACGAGTCATTTTTCATCATTATATAATCATAGAAATCACAATAGTATAAGCAATGGTCATATCATAATACAAAATAATTGAAAGTTTCAATCATCTTTAAGAAAGTACAGTTGACAGTAGTGTCTTATTATTTTGTTTAATTTCTTTTCTTTTTCATTGTTCTGTCATGTTGTATATTTGAATTGAAAAGAAGATTTTATAAATACTTTGATTTATTTTTGTTTCATTGAATGTTTTATCTTTTTTACTGAAAGTTTAAAAGAATTTGTTGAGGTAAAACTTTCTAAAAATAAAAAAAAATGTGGCTTTTTAATGGAAGTGAAGAAGTTACCATAACTAAGCTCGACCTTGCTTGAGGATCTTATCAGATAGTTTATTTATTTGTAATTCAAAAAAAGAATCTTAACAAGATATATCTTCAATTTTACACAAAGAATTTGTTCTCTGAGACATGAAACAGTGAAGTGAATAAAAAATCATATTGTAGAGTGTGTTTTACTGTATCTTTTCATCATAAAGACAATTTTTACAAGTATTTATTTCACAAAGAAAATTTTAATATTCAAATAATGTGTACATGTTCTTTATTGTGTTTTCTGGATGTTTTTGTTTTTTGTTAACAAGTAAAAAGCTTCTCGTGAATTTTCAACTACAATACTGAGTTTTAATGGGTAGTTTCGTCAAGAATAGAAAACAAGTTATAAGCATAGTTTCTTCTTTTTGCATTACAAGAATTCTTGATAGAATAATGTAAACAAATCTTTTTATGAAGTCGATGCTAGTAGCATATCTAGAAATACGCATGATAACAAGAAAGACAAATACAACGATCAATGACAACAGCAACTAAAAATTGATACAGAAACCGTTTCGAATTATTTCGGAGCAAAACTTTTATCGTTGACCCATTGAAAAAGATCCCTAAATATGATTCACCATCAAGTGATGATAGTACAACATCAACAATTTATTAATATGAGTTGAAGATTCTTATTTAAAATAAATATGTTCTAAAAACGCTGAATATCAGTCCTTAAAATTAGAATAACCATTATGAAAACAGTAATCTATTTCTTTGGAACTATCATCTATACCTGATAAATCATGACAAATAATAACTATCAATTCAACATCAATATCTTTATCATAAAGACTATTATTATCAATCAAGTGATATTTCGAAAAGAATTCATATATGAAAACAAATATATATTCGAAAATATTTTACAATAAAGCTCGTTTAGTAATTAATTAATGTAGAGCTTCATTAAAAACTCAAACATGTACATGTCTTGTAACGTGATTTAACATCAGATATACAAGATGAATAAACCATACGTATTCTTAAATGTTGTTTGAAATTCATTGATGAAAATCGTGCGGTATACCTGAAAATGATGTCAAAGTAAAGAATGAAATTTCCGACATGTGAATTCAAACAATAATCATTGAAATGAATTGTTTTTGTTTTCTTCTTTTTTTTTTTAGTCACTGAGTTACGGCTGTGAATGTAATGTAAATAGAATAAATACATATTCATCGTCGACTGACGATAAATTGATCGTCGATGATTATCTATTAATCATTATCATTGAGTGATAGTTCATGTTTTTCAAATATCCTATATAAGGAATGATTTTCTTGTATAAAATCATTCAATTCAATCGATCTATTGTATCAACAATACATATATATATTCCAATCTTAAATAGGGTATGTTGTTTCTTTTTTTTTCTCGTATTGGGATAAAAAATTTATAAATAAGTTGAAAAGTTCTATTGGCCACTAGAACTTTTCAAGTTATTTTTTTCTTTTTTCTTTCATACTTGTGTTATTATGTAGAGAGGGAGATAGATACTATTTTATATCACAGCCCGTCAGATGGCTTCGTAATCTGACCCAGGGAGATTTCTTGTGCCTATGTTGGCGATAGCAGTGGAGTACTCGGGAAGGCCGTCTGTTCGTAGGTCCCTGTCGCCGTTTACGTACGTCACACCTATGATCATGCCCTACCAGTCCGGCGTGGTCCGCTCTGCGTGTAACCATTGCGGGCTTACAGGGAGTCTTCCTGGTCGCGCGCGCGCGTACGCGAGAATCAATTGTAATGCAAATAAATTTATTCAGCAAATTGAAAAAAAAAAACAAATTACATTTTCTTTCGAATTTTTTCAAATGTTTCTTTATATTCCAATATATGAGGATGATTTGAAGGTAATTTTTCTTGAGCAATTTCTACGGCTTGTTGAACATTTTTCATTGCCATATTATATTGTCGAGTAGATAAATATAATTTTGCCAAATTGTGATATACTACAGCTAAATCAGGATGATTTTTTGGTAGTTTATTTTCACGTATTTCCAATCCTTTTTGATAATATGTCAATGCCGTTGTATAATCTTTCATTTGCCGATATGTTTCACCTAAATTTATATATGTCGTTGCACAATCTGTAGGATTACATTGAACACTTTCTTGAATATTTAATGCTTTTCGATGAAATGTAATTGCCTTCTCATAATCACCCATTAAACGATGAACATCACCAATATTACTGTATGTAATACCAAAATCTGGATGATTTTCAGGTAGTGTTTTTTTATCTATTTCAAGGCATTTTTGAAAATAATCAAGTGACTTGGAATAATCTTTCATACTGCGATAAACTCTTCCAAACCAGCTGTAGGTAAAAGAAAAAGCTGGATTACCTTCTTCAAAAGTTTTTTGCTGAATTTGATAAGCATTTTTAAGGGCTTTAAGAGCTGTTGTGTAATCACCCATTCTTTCGTAACATGCGGCAAAATTCAAGTGACTAACAGCCAAATCAGGATGATTCGAAGGCAGAGCTTTTTCGTAGATTTTATGTGATTTTTCGTAAAATTCAAGTGCTTTCGAGTAGTCACCCATGT